AATCCACTTTAAAAAACTGTGAATTGATGTGGCAATGTTCACTTGTGTTTATTAATCCCTTTGTTTTTTCAAAATTCTTTGGTTTGCATTGCAACTTTGAAATAACTCTTGGTCACTGCTTCACACTTTATTACACGCAGAGGAAAATCAGCCATTACAGGTTTAAAAAGCATAATTTATTTTTCAATGGTGTGTGTATACATAAGAAAGATGGTATATAGAAAATGTTTACATCAAAGTAAAATAAATTAATTCAATGCTATTGAACACAACTGTGCTCTAGACACCACCACATACAACTCCAAGAGTCAAAATTTTCTTTATATTATGAAGAGATAATTCAATAAAGTTTTTGATTGGATGGAACTCTGGGGATGGTTTAGTCCAATACATTCATTTTTATGATTTTTTAAAATGAGAGGGAATTGGACTATATAATAGTAGAACCAATGTTAGAATATGAGTATATTCACTCCCAGTCTTTTGAGAGAAAAAAAGAGGAATCACTGTTGGCTTTAGTTGCTGTTTTATGCTCAAAAAGTACTATTAGAGACAAGAATCCAAGCAGCAATAATCAGCTATAGAAGCAACACATTTTGTGCAGAAGGCCCAAATAAGCAGAGACTCTACTAGTTGTTGATTCATAAGACAGTGGGTTTGACTACTTTTTTTCATTATGCAATACAAATAATCATCCTACCCTAGTCTAGAATAATTGAAGAAAAATGTGTCTCTAGGCAGACAGCCTTTGAGCATACAAACAGGAGGACTGCCCTGAGGGCATCCTTAAAAGTGCTAATTTCTACACTGATGTTTATTAAGTGAAACTCAGTTGTTGATTGACCTGAGTCTACTCTTATCTGGTAGGAATAAAATAAGTCATCCTTCCACATAGTTGCAGGGAGAACAAGAGTGAGGTGTTTTGAAATGAAGAAGTAGCAAGACACCCTTGCTTTGTATACTGTGTTTTCCCCAGGGGAGTAGACAGCAGCACGAGGAGGAGGGACCAGAGGCAACACTGAAAATGATTAGCCTAGTTGGTGTTCTCTGATGGCATTGCTCCAAAATATAGGGAATATTTTGAATGAAATGTGTTTTGTTCTGTTTAAATAACTAATAGTCATGTTTGTTTCCACCAAGCAGATAAAAGAACTTTTTGATTAAGGGGACCAATATGAGTATTACAGATTAATTCCATAAACAAGAGTTATACATTATTTGTTTAGTAGCAATTTTGAACTTCTTGCTCATGTATGCAAAATATATGGTCATCAAAGATCACGAGTGCTTGCAGATATTTGCAAACAGAACTTTCCTATCTGGATATTATGGCTCCCAATGCCATGACCTCTTTCGATCTGATACTTCAACACTCATAGTGTCATCATATGTTTGTCTCTTATTCTATCATTTCTTAAAAATCTCAGTTAACATGACTTTGGGGACCTTTCTTGGAGTTAAATAAATAAATAAAATCTAGACAAAGAGATTATAGACATACTCTGAACATAAAGCATACTTCAAGGAGTAAAAGGCTGCATTATCTCTAATATCAAGTTTTCTAAGTTATTTTACAACCTAAAATTAAATAGTAAGGTTCTCTACTATAGCACCACAATATGTTTACATATAAACCTACTACCTAGTTAAAAGATTTTAGAGTTTTACTTTTAGAATTGTATAGTTTTAAGGGGAGTATGTTATTATTGATGAAGTTTTGGGGCAGAATTTTGATCTTCATTTGTTTCCTTGCATTAAAAAATTATGTGGAAAGTTTATTTGACTTCCAAGGCATTAAGTTACCTTCTCCCCTTTCTTTATGGAACTTTTTTTTAAAATTGAAGAACAATTTGTCCTGACTTCTGTTTAAGTTGTCATTCTCAGGCAGATATAAGTATTTTCCAATAATTGTCTCTGAGATTTTACTCCTTCCTCTCTGATAATTGGCAATTCAACAGAAGTTTGATCAGAAACTGGTGTTTTTCACAGGTGATAAAATAGCCCAATTATTTGGTATATTTTTTCCCTGATGCTTCAAAATTTAGTATATACTCAAAATCGCAGACTGCCTATTTTATTCATATAACATGTAATGTACATAGGTCAAAGAGCCTCATTTAGTCAGAACTTAGCAAATCACATGGTTGCTGGGATTTAACACTTGATCAGTCCACATGAATGACTTCCCATTGTGAGAGTAGAACCTGATAGTTTTTCTGTCAGTAACATATTTTGTTTAAACAAAATAGCCACAGATGACTCAGGTAAGAGAATAAAAGAAACCGGCCTACTTCCCAGTTAGTGAGCAGAGAAAAAAAAATTAACCACTGTATTATCCATGGAACTAGTTTGTGAGCATTGCTTATAACATGAAGGTTCAAGATGTGCCATACTTTGCTGTATGTAATGTGCATCTTTACATTTACATGTGCATGTTTTTTACCTGTGCAAAAAATGATGTCATGTTTTGTGCACATTATACACAGAATTATTATACCCATGGCATGTAATCATTATACCCATGCATAATGTGCATCTTTATTTTCCCTAAAAAATTTAGGCAAAAAACTGTGCATTATACATGGCAAAATATGGTACTTTAAATCATCCAGAACTGGTGATATAATAAAATAACATTTATACTTTCAGAATGTATGAAATAAATCATAATATTTGTATAAAAGACCATTTGATTCCCTTGACCAAAACCCAAGATTCAAGTTCTCTAAAATTATCATTTATTATTAAATTCTGATTAAAACCATTAAAGAATTATATCAAAAATGTCCAAGCAAATCAGATTAGAAAGTGTGTATGGCTAGAATCTCTTGGCTAGTCATATATATTTGACCTGCTCCATTTCTGACCTGGGCCAGTTCACCCCTCCTTAGGCAACCTGGTGGCTCCCCGCTCCTGGGAGGTCACCATATTGATGCCCAACTTAGTGCGGACAGCCACCTGAACAGCATAGTGCACTGCAGCCCAGAACTCCTGGGCTCAAGCAATCCTCCCGCCTCAGCCTCCTGAGTAGCTGGGACTACAGGCGTGCACCACCGTGCCTGGCAATATTTGAATTCTTGAAATAAATAATTCTACAACTGCTGAAATGTGATGAACACAATATTGATTTGGAAAAACACATATTACCCTTAGAAGATAATTTAAGGACATTAACTACATCAGTCTTTATGAAGACTGATAATTTCAGGTTACAGAAGAGGTTCTCACCAATTTTCAAAGTATTTTCTCAATTGTTTACTTCACATGTGAAATTGTTTATTTTAGATATACAAGTGACCAATCGATTATATACCAGATCATAGAATACTCCAGCTCACAACTGGAACAGAAGTTGACTATCATGTAGCTCAACAACTTATCAAATTATATTCTCCTAGTATTCTATTAATTCCATGGCCATCAACTTACCTTTGAAGAGTGCCAATAATAGAATCTCTTAACTCTTTAGCAATCCATTTTCTGATGAAACAACTTTGACACCTCAAAACCTTGCTTTTTTATTTGCCTATTCATCAAGCCATAGTTTCAATGACACCTTTGGGCCACAATGTATTAGACTAATTATTCTTTTCAAATGACAACCCTCCTTTTCTTAAATATTTGAATAGTTTCTACATGCCAGAGCCTTATTTTATCTGGGTTAAATAAGCTAATTTTTTAAATCCTTACTCGGACACTAGTAAGTCTTCATTTTTTCATTCACTAGTCACTTCTCTATTTTTAGAGATACATCCTGTAAGTAGACATTAATAAGCATATTTTAAAGTTTATTTTATTTTTTAAATATTATCAAGCACACAGATTGTGGAATGCATTGTAGTAGGAATACAGCATCAGACACATATTTATTTGTTAACAATTGAGTGATTATAATAATGGTGAGGTCAACAAGTATTTGTTCACTATATTGATTTATAGTTTGACAAACTTTTAGGCAACTTTTTATATTTTATTTCCCCATAATTTCTGTGAGGTAAATAAGACAAGTCTTTTTAAATTTATTTTAGTTTAAGAGCTATAGATATTGTGACTGGCCCAAGAGGAGTAACAGTTCAAGGGGTATTATTCAGGTCTTCAAACACCAGTGATTCTGTCTTCCTAATTATTTTAATCTTTTGTATAAATGATGTTTGATTCAGAAGTAGTAAAGGAGAAAATATCCCTCACAGATGCCCATACTTTTAGAAAATACTCACTATTAAGTAAAAGGGGGGAAAACCAAAATATTGATCTTTGAGACTGCAATTCAGTTATTTTCACCTTAGAAAAATAGTCTCAGACCTCTGGCTGGTGTAGCTCAGTTGGTTGGCGCATTGTCCAGTAAACTGAAAGGTCTTGGTTCAATTCTTGTCAGGGCACCAGACTACTGGTGGGTCCCCCCAAAACCCCTCAAATGGGGGGCACACATGAGAAGGAACTAATCCATGTTTCTTTCCTTCCCTCCCCCTCTTTAAGCATGTCCTCTAGTGAGGATTAAACAAAAAAGAATCTAAGAAATGTCACATAATAGGAAAAACACCCCTAAGAAATGAGATGTATGTAACCACAGGCACAAAGAACTTGCCAAGAGGAGAAAAGTTAAAAAATATCTACCGCCCTGGCTGGTGTAGCTCAGTGGATTGAGCACGGGCCTGCGAACCACAGGATCACGGTTTGATTCCCAGTCAGGGCACATGCCTGGGTTGCAGGCCAGTCCCCAGTAGGGGACTCATGAAAAGGCAACCATACATTGATGTTTCTCTCCCTCTCTCCTTCCCTTCCCCTCTAAAGATAAATAAATAAAATATTTTTTAAAAATCTAGGACATATATAAGATTATTTTGGTAAAATTTGAGAAAACCAAGACTTAATATAACTTTATTGACAAAAATCTTCTTGAACTTATGATTCACTGCAAAACACTAAGAAAACTAAGCACTGATCAAAGAGAATTTTTAAATTTCTTATTCGAATAAAACCAATGAAAGCAATAATCTCACCTGAGTAAAGGAGTCTTCCTCTTTACACAACCCTGAATCTTCCTGAATCAAAAGCGGCTCGCTTTTCTCACAGCTGTCCTGGCTGATGAGCGTGTCTGCATAGTTGGGCTGCGGGAAGATCAGGTGACTCTTCCGAGAGTCCGCGGTGAGGGAGACCTCATGGGAATAGGTCTGCAGGAACGCCCGCACCCCGTCCACGCCCACAAAGTGCGAGGCGGGCACACCCACCAACCCACCTCCAGAAGCCTGCAGCTGGCGTGACTTTTGCCAGCGCCACAGTCTGAGCGCCAGCAGCACCATGACAAAGGCAAGAAAGATGCAAGAGACAGCGGCCACCGCCACAACCAGGTACAGCGTGAGGCCTGAAACATCAGAATTGTGCGGGACCTCCAGGCTGCCCAGCTCTTCCAGAACGTCTGGGATGCTGTCAGCCACAGCCACTGTGAGCGTGACGGTGGCCGACAGAGGGGGCTGGCCGTGGTCCTGAACAGCCACCACCAGGCTCTGCTTGAGCGCATCTCTGTCCAGCAGAGCACGCGCGGTGCGCACCTCACCCGTGTGCAGCCCCACCACAAAGAGCCCTGGCTCGCTGGCCTTGAGCAGGCGGTAGGACAGCCAGGCATTCTGGCCTGAGTCTCTGTCCACTGCCACCACCTTGGTCACCAGGTAGCCAGGTTCTGCAGAGCGAGGTGCCAACTCCACACCAGTGGAACCGTCAGTGGGGATAGCAGGGTACAGGATCTCAGGTGCATTGTCATTCTGGTCCAGCACAAACAGACTCAGTGACACGTTGCTGCTGAGTGGAGGGTCCCCGCTGTCATGTGCAGTCACTTTCAACTGCAAGTCATGGAAGCGCTCATAGTCGAAGGAGTGCAATGCATACAGGACACCAGTGTCAGAGTTGATGGAGACATAGGAGGATAGAGGTGCACCGTGGATAGTGTCTTCCTCCAGGGAGTAGGTGATGTGGGCGTTCTCATTGCTGTCAGGGTCGTGAGCATTCACAGAGAAGATGGAGGCCCCTCTGGGGTTGTTCTCAGGGACATAGACAGAGTAGGAGGAGTGGGGGAAGGAAGGTGGGTTGTCGTTGGTGTCTGCCACATTCAGGGAGATGACTGTTTCTGTAGACAGAGGCGGCACTCCTTTGTCTGTGGCTGTCACTGTGATGTTGTACATTGATACCTGTTCTCGATCTAGAACTGTATTGGTCACTAATCTATAATAATTGTCAACCAATTTTTCTAGCTCAAAGGGCAGACTTCTTGAGATGGAACATGTTACCTGGCCATTCATTCCTGAGTCATGATCATATACTTGAAAAATAGCAATCACTGTTCCTGGAGGCATACTTTCAGCAACTGACTTGCTTTCAAATGTGACTCCTATGTCTGGTACATTATCATTCACATCCAAGATGGTTATTAAGACTTTCGCTCTGTCCTGTAGGCCTGCCCGGTCCCGGGCTTCAACATCTAGCTCATAGAAACTGGAGTCCTCATAGTCTAGATTTGCAGAAGTTGATATTTCTCCAGTGAACACATTCAAGGAGAAAAGTTTTGAGATCTTTTCTGTTACCCTCACAAAGGAATAGGTTATTTCAGCGTGGACTCCTTCATCCTGGTCGGTGGCATTTACTGACAACACTGAGGTACCTACCGGCAGGTTTTCAGGAACACTCACAGGATAGACAGGCTGGGTAAACATGGGCGCATTGTCATTGGCATCTAGGACAGTTACCACAATTCGTGCCACACCTGAACGGACAGGGTCACCACCATCCATTGCAGTAAGAACCAAATGGTGAATGGACTCTCTCTCCCGGTCCAGAGCACGTTCCAGCACCAGCTCTGGGTATTTGGGCCCAGGAGCTTCACTTGGTACGTCCACTGAGAAGTGACTATTCCCGCTGAGCTTGAAGCCCTGAAGAGAGTTCATTCCCACATCCGGGTCAGAGACCTCCATTAGTGGAAAACGAGAGGATGGGGCTGCATTCTCGAGAATTTTCACTTCCATTTCTTCCCTTAAGAATCGGGGTGTATTATCATTAATGTCTACTATTTCCACTTCTACAGGATAAAGATTCAGTTTGTCCTCAACAAGGATACTAAAACTCACCACACACCGCAAGCTTTGAGCACAGAGCTCCTCCCTGTCTATTCTGCCCGCGGTGACCAAGCTGCCACTTCGGGGATTCAGAGCAAAGAGGGGTGTCCTACCTCTGAAGACGATGCGGACTCCGTGCTCCACCAGTTCCTGAGGCTTCAGACCAAGATCGTTGGTGATGTTGCCCACGAAGGAGCCTCTGTCAAGTTCCTCAGGAATAGAGTAGAGAATAGGCCCGGCCTGCGCCCCAACCCCCCACAGCGTCCCCTGCAGCATAAAAAGCAGGACTAATCCACTGTGGCACCGGCGCCTTTGCAGAGCCATTACTGGCTCCTTACGGACGTCTCTGGGGGAAGTGTTAGGAGTAGGGGGCCGCATCGCTCTTGGGCTTCTCAGAATTACAGCTCCAGCTCCACAAACAAGCAGAAATCAGATGTGAAGCGTTTTAGGTCAGAATTTTTGCGCAACTGCAGAGCTTTTGTGTCCGATCTGCTTTGTGCTGGGAGGATATGACTCCAGTACTCATTGCTTTGCTTACCCAGGTTAGTGAACAGCGACGCTTAGAGTCCTAACTTAATACTACAACGTTTTGTGAAATCATCACACAGAGGATTTTAATTCTGCTAAATCCGCTCATAAAATTTCTCTCCCCAAGAATGAGAAGCATTTGGAAAAATAAAAGAGCCTATTTTAAAATGATTGTACATGTTCCCTAAACTTCACTGTTCTTTTTTTTGTGGCATTATCTCTTACAGCCTTGAAGAACAGAAATATTAGATTTTTCTGTAAATCTTGAATTATCACGCTCCACCATCCCTTAGTATTTCCCGCTTTCAACAAGGGCACCACCGCAAACATACGTGAACCAATCCACTTAGTGTCAGTTAAGTATTGTCATTTTTAATTTCACTATCTATTTTCATTAACATATAGATTAGAACTGCCCTAATTTAGCCAGTATCTGTTGTTCTGTTTAGAACAAGCACATGAAGTTAAAGATATGAGCTACAATGCAAATATGTTTGTATTATATATAAAACACAATTTAGGGCTGACAGCATTGAAAGTAAGAAAACCACCTGTCTAGATTTACTTTTCATCATATATAGATAATGTGTCTCACAATTACAGCATGAGGTGCTAAAGTATTAAAATGTTTCAGAATGTATTACTTTAGGATTAATAAATAATTTCAAGACTGCCCTGGCTGGTGTAGCTCAGTGGACTGAATGCCAGCCTGTGAAGCAAAGGGTCACTGGTTTGACTCCCAATCAGGGCACACGCCTGGGTTCAGACCAGGCCCCCGGATGGGGGTGAGTGAGAGGCAACCACACACTGATGTTTCTCTCCTTCTCTTTCTCACTCCCTTCCCCTCTAAAAAGAAATAAAAATGAAATCTTTAAAAAAATTTTCAAGACCATTACAAGATGACTTTTCATAAAAGATCAACTGCAATACAGATAAGCGAACAGAGAATTTCTGACACGCCCATTGCATGCCCTCCCCAAATCAATGAAACACAAAATCAGGATATACTTAGCCCATATACGTTTTACCTCTAAAATAATGAACTGAAACCTAATCATACTTATGGGAGGAAAGGACTTTGAAGTAACTCACCTGCTGCAAATGGACTGAATCAGAAGTCACTTTGGGATTGTCATTGCTGTTACTTTCAAACCAAGAGGCTTCATTACATAGAAGATCTTGTGGTGGAGCATTATCAGGGTTTATATCGAGAAATTTAAACTCAGTTTTTGAGGAGTGTGAGGCCGCACACAGATTGTAAGAATAGGGCAAAGTCCATTCGCAGTAGTTGGGGGAAATCCCAGGTCCGGTCTTGGAGCAGACACCACCAGTTCCAAAGCAACTCCAAGCAGCGGGGCCGGAGGAGCTTCGCAGGCTCAGCGCCACCGCCAGAATCACCGCCAGGAGGAAGAGCACGGAGATCAAGGCCAAGGCCACCACCAGATAAAACTTCAGCTCGGTCTGGGGATCGGAGGGTTCGGGATGGTCAGTGAGGTCCGGCAGGGCCTCTTGCAGGCTGTCAGCGAAGACCAGGTGCAGCGTGGCAGTGGACGAGAGAGGCGGCTGTCCCCCGTCACGCACAGCGACCAGCAGGCGCTGGCGGACCGCGTCCCTTTCACCCAAAGCACGCGCTGTGCGCACCTCGCCAGTGCGCAGCCCCAGGCTGAACAGTCCAGGCTCGCTGGCCTGCAGCACGTGGTAGGACAGCCAGGCATTGTGTCCCGAGTCCGCGTCCACAGCCACCACCTTGGTGACCAGGTAGCCCGGCTGCGCGGCGCGCGGCACTGTGTCGAAGAGCGCAGAGCCGTCGGGACCCAGCGCCGGGTAAAGCACCCTTGGCGGTTGTCGTTGCGGTCGGTCACCAACACGCGCAGGCTGACATTGGTGCTGAGCGCTGGGGAGCCCTGGTCGCGGGCCCGCAGCGTCAGCTGGAAGGCGCGCAGGTGCTCGTGGTCGAAGGCGCGCTGCGCGAACACCACGCCGCTCTGCGCGTTCACTGACACGTAGGAGGACAGCGCCTGTGGCTCCAGGTCGCTGGCCACGATGGAGTAGGAGATGAGGCTGTTGGGTCCCAGGTCGGGGTCGGAGGCGCTGACCTGCGCAATGGAGGCCCCTGGCGGGTTGTTTTCTGGCACATGAACCAGGTAGGCGGACTGTTGGAAAACCGGAGCATTGTCATTGACATCAGCTACGTTCAAGGTGACACTTCTATTGGAGGAGAGGGGAGGTTTGCCTTTGTCGGTGGCTGTGATGGTAATGTTGTATTCTGGAGTCTGCTCTCGATCTAGGGCTCCATCTGTAACCAACTTGTACGTGTTTTTTGTTTCTTGAACTATTTTAAATGGGAAACTTCCACTTAGTCGGCACAGAGTTTCCCCATTAAATCCAGAATCCAGATCATGTGTTTTGATCAGGGCAACCACAGTCCCTAGCTCTACATCTTCTTGTATAAGTTTAGATTCAGAATCCAGGGTTATCTCAGGAGCATTGTCATTTTCATCCAAAATATCTATTTGTATTTTACAATGTGCTGTGTGATGTCCACCATCCTTTGCCTCTACCCGAAATATGTAGTGCTCTCTCTCTTCAAAGTCCAGTCCTCCGCCAATGGAGAGTTCCCCTGTTTTACTGTTCAGCTCGAACAGTTGTCTCACTGCTTTACCAGTGTTGATGAAAGCATAGGTGATCTCGGCATTGACACCCTCATCCAAGTCAGTGGCTGTCACTCTTAGCACAGAGGAGCCAACTGGCAGGTTCTCTGGAACACTGACCCTGTACACGTCCTGGGTGAACACTGGTGGGTTATCATTTGCATCCACCACAACCACCCTGATCTGGGTAGAGCAGCTTCTGGCAGGCTCACCCCCATCCACAGCGGTGAGGACCAGGTAGTGGCAGGACTTTTCTTCCCTGTCCAGGGGAGCCTTCACTACCAGTTCTGGGTACCTGCTGCCATCAGGGTCCTCTTTCTGGTTCAAAGAGAAGTGTGGGTCTGGGCTGAGGTAGTACTGCTGCAGGGAATTGACCCCGACATCTGAGTCTTGTGCGGATTCTAAGACAAAGGTGGCTCCAGTTAGGGCCAGCTCACTAATTTCCAGTTCAGTGATATTTCGGCTGAAGGTCGGTGGGTTGTCGTTCACATCCTGAATGATCACAGCTATATGAAAGAAGTTCAAAGGCTTTTCAGCAACCATTTCGAATTCCAGAACACATGTCGACTTTTTGCCACAAATCTGCTCACGGTCTATACGGTCGCTTACAAGTAAGTCCCCGCTCTCCGTGCTCACTGTAAAGAATTTCTTCTCAGCACTAACCCGCAGGTTCCGAGTAGGCAAATCTCGAACGCCAAGCCCCAGATCCTTGGCGAGGTTCCCCACTAGGGAGCCCCTGGCCAGCTCCTCCGGAATAGTGTAGCGGGTCGGCTCGGACAGCGCGGGGCAGAACAGAGGCAGCAGCAGGAAAAAAGGCATTCTCTTCCGCCCAGCCCGGCCCTGCGGTCCCCAGAGGTTTCCCATTCCCTTTTCTGAGCCTTTGCCTTACTGATTCCGAAGAGCAGCGATCGCAAACAATCCGAAGAACTCTCTGAGCAATAGTGATCGCTCGATTTGTCTTGGCAGGCAGGTTCTTTGATAGATCTCTCTTCTGCAGAGAGCCGGAGAGAAAGTGCACCGTTTTCCTGGCTCCGCGGTTTGGTGGCGATTCCTTTGCGTCAGAAGTTGCTAGCACTTCGCTTAGTACTAGCCAACAGCGACACCCTGCGTCTCGACTTCAGAACTGCAGTAGTGATTACTAAACCGCTCCAAATACGAAGCCTCCTACAAGACAATTCCTCTGTCTGATACAGAAACTTTTTGTATCCATTTTACAAGAATATAACATTTAAAATATTTACTACATCTTCCATCTGGCTGTCATTTCTTTGAATGTGAACTTTACTCACCCAAGTCAAGTGAGTTTTACTCGTCAAAGAGCAGGGATACCTTGCTGAAGATACTTATTGAAATAGTCGTGCTTTTAGTTTCCATCGCCATGAAATGATTGTAATAACTTCTTCCCTGCTTGCCCTAGTATAATTGTGTACCAAATAAAATAATATATAGAAAATAATAGAAATGAAAGTGTGAGTGCTGACAGAAGGTATAATACGTTAATTCTTAAAAATTTGATATGTATTGTTATTTATAACAATACACCCCACTTTCTTTTAACTCATAAAAATAATAAATCTCATAGGTTTTGGTTTTATCCTATGCTTCACTTTCTTCTATCTTATATTTATCATCTTTTCCCCCAAATAACTGATAGGTATCAAGGAGGTTGTTTGTCTTTACGAAATAGAAGTATGATAGGAAGCAAGATACTCATTTTCTTTAGCTTCCAGGTGTCTACATTCCATTAAATGACTAAGATTTAAAAATTATTCTACTCATTTTATTTTTCCACAATACATTGCCATAATCTTTAATTGCATTTTTTCTTCTCAAGTAGCTTAATAGTGGTGAGTTATTTGGATTATGGGGATCAAGTATGAGTCCTTATGATTATATATCCCAAAGAGGGTAATCTATGCTGCCCAGTTTTCCTTGGTCCACAGATCATAATCTGGTCATTGTGATGCTTTGCTATTGACACTCTTTCCTCATCAACAGGCATGTAAATTTCCATGGTTCCGATGGATGTCTTACAGTTTTGATTCCATTTCCACACTAGAAATCTTCACAGAGCAATTGTTTTATTTATTTTTAACTTTATTTTATACTAAATTGTGTTTTAAACCTACATAATATATTGTAATTCTAAAGTTTTAGAGGTGTGCAGTGATACTGAACTCATAGTAGAATAGTATTAGAGCACCTTAAACTGCTTATTGTATTCAGGATTCTAGACAGAAGCTCATTGGTATCTCTATTTGAACATAAAAAAACACTACTGATGCAAAACTTTGTTCTAAAACATGACTGACAAGTGCCTTTCCAACACTGTAGCATTTAAATTAGTACAAGAAAGCTATCTTTTCAGAACATATGTGCAACTAAAGATTCAGACATTTAAAAGAAAATAGAGTATATATAATACAATATATACACTCAATATATATATATACACTCAGTATGTGAATCAAGCATTTTATCATGTAAAGTATACACAACATATACTCAAGAAATTTAAGACCCATAGACCAGCACTTTGTTAAGAAATATCACTAATTTAAGATAAGCTCAGCCCCTGAGAAATGAGTTTTAAAATTTGAAACCATTTTATTCTTTTACATTTAAAAACATTTTATTTATTTTTAGAAAGGGGGAAGGGTGGGAGAAAGGGAGAGAAACATCAATGCGTGGTTGCCTCTTGTGTGCCCCCAGCTGATGACCTGGCCTGCAACCCAGGCCTGTGCCCTAAGAATAAACCAGTGACCCTTTGGCTCGAAGGCTGGCACTCAATCCACTGAGCCACACCAGCCAGGGCTAAAATTTGAAACTATTTTAAAGTTGAATTAATTTTCCAAACACAAATCTTAGACTTTTTAACTATAGCAGAATTGTATACAAACATTCAGGTATCTGTTGATTCTTAGAAGTGAAAGGGTTTCCTGTAACCAGAAGACGCCGGGTGTGTGGCATATTTGAATTCAAAAGGTGCAGCAGTCTCTAAATCTTCGGAGGTTTTAAACTGCATTACAGAATAAAGCACAATTCTCAGGCTCCTCACTGATTTTTTTCTCTCAGCTAATTCACATTCCAATAATTTCAAGGTTTAATCCAAACTTACCAGATATCAGAATACCACAGGCATTATCATCAACATAAATTTAATCTATTTTTCTGATATTCCTCATGAAAAACTTTTCTATATTCTTCTAGTGATTTATCTAAGTATGTAAATTATTTCCTTATGCAAGCAGCAGATATACTTTCCAAAACATATCTGGTGTTTGTGTTTAGGCAAATATTCAAAATAAAATATTACACTAGCAATTTAGAATAATCAAACAACTCAGATATTAAGATAATGACGGGTTTTAGTGTAAGAAAATCTTTGGGCAAAGAGATTATTTTTTACCACCTTTAGAGTTCTTGTTTAAAAAATAATAAAGTACTCATTTCATTTAAGTCTGTGGATATCAGCTAGATTTTCTAAAATATCCATGTATTGAGATAATAAGACACTACATCCAAAATGTAATTAGAAAATAAATGGAGAGTGCACGAGTTCTCAAATTAAAGTAGCCTCTGAATGAAGCAAATAATTCACGATTTATATAATTAAATTATTTGAATGTGAAAGAAAATAAGTGAGAAAACAAATAAACACAATGCTCAAAGCATTCCTGAAAAAAGAAACTCACCTGAACAACTTCTAGTTCTTCGTTTGCATTTTTCTTCTCAGATATCAAAAGCGGCTCGCTTTTCTCACAGCTGTCCTGGCTGATGAGCGTGTCTGCATAGTTGGGCTGCGGGAAGATCAGGTGACTCTTCCGAGAGTCCGCGGTGAGGGAGACCTCGTGGGAATAGGTCTGCAGGAACGCCCGCACCCCGTCCACGCCCACAAAGTGCGAGGCGGGCACACCTGCCAAACCCGCTCCTGAAGCCTGGAGCAGACTCGACTTATGCCAGCGCCTGAGCCTGAGTGCCAGCAGCACAATGACAAAGGCGAGGAAGACGCAGGAGACCACAGTCACCGCCACCACTAGGTACAGCGTGAGGCTGGAGTCATCAGGATTGGCGGAGGGCTCCAGATTGCTCAACTCTTCCAGAACGTCTGGGATGCTGTCAGCCACAGCTACCGTGAGCGTGACGGTGGCCGACAGAGGGGGCTGGCCGCGGTCCTGAACAGCCACCACCAGGCTCTGCTTGAGCGCATCTCTGTCCAGCAGGGCACGCGCAGTGCGCACCTCGCCCGTGTGCAGCCCCACCACAAAGAGCCCTGGCTCGCTGGCCTTGAGCAGGCGGTAGGACAGCCAGGCGTTCTGGCCTGAGTCTCTGTCCACTGCCACCACCTTAGTTACCAGGTAGCCTGGTTCTGCAGAGCGGGGCGCCAGTTCCACACCAGTGGAACCATCTGTGGGGAGGGTGGGGTAGAGGATTTCAGGTGCATTGTCATTCTGATCCAGCACAAACAAGCTTAGAGACACATTACTGCTGAGTGGAGGATCCCCACTGTCACTGGCTGTCACCAGTAGTTGCAGGTCTCTAACCTCCTCATAGTCGAAAGATCGAAGAGCATACAGGACTCCTGTGTCAGAGTTGATGGAGACATAGGAGGAGAGAGGTGTTCCCTGAAACGTGTCCTTTGCCAGAGAATAAGTGACCTGGGCATTGTAGCCACTGTCAGGGTCATGGGCATTCACAGAAAAGATTGAGATGCCTCTGGGATTGTTTTCTGGGATGTAGGTGGAATATGAGGTATGAGGGAAGATGGGAGGATTGTCATTGATGTCTGCCACTTTCAGGGAGATGTGGTTTTCTGTAGACAGGGGTGGGTTTCCTTGGTCAGTGACAGTTATTGTGATGTTATAATCTGAGATCTCTTCTCTGTCCAGAGTTCTCGTTGTCAGTAAGTGATAGTAATTATCTACTGACTTTTCCAATTTAAAGGGCAAGTTCCTGGAGATAGAACATGCAGTCTCCCCATTCTCTCCAGAATCACCATCATGTACGCTAAACAGCACGATTACTGTTCCGGGAAGACTATCTTCAGAGACTGAACTGGTGAGAGAAGTAAGGATCATTTCCGGGACATTGTCATTCACATCCTGTACTGTGACCACCACCTTAGCACTGGCAAGAAGAGCACCTCCATCCTGAGCTACCACTTCCATGAGGTAGAATCTAGAGTCCTCATAATCCAGTGATTGCACTGTTGAAATTTCACCCAGGTTGGAATCGAGATGGAAAGTCTGTGAAATTTTGTCTTCTTCATTCCGAAAAGAGTAGGTCAATTTTCCATTTATTCCCTCATCTGGATCCGTTGCGGTTATTGTGAGCAACCGAGTGCCTACAGGTATATTCTCCGGAACACTCACTCTGTACTCTGATCGAGTGAATTGGGGCGCGTTATCGTTCGCGTCGAGGACCATCACACAGATGTGCGTAGTGCTAGAGAGTACGGGGTCTCCGCCATCTAGAGCTGTGAGGAGGAGGTTGTGAACAGGCACTTTCTCTCGGTCCAAGGGCTGTTCCAGTACCAGCTCCGGGTATTTCTGTCCATCACTTCCGCTTTTCTCATCCAGAGAGAAGTGTATATTGGAGCTGAGCTGGTAACTCTGGAGGGAGTTCACGCCCACATCTGCATCTCTAGCGAAGGGAAGCACTAACCGTGTCCCTGTGGCTGCATTTTCATTAACCTTTACCTTTACTTCCTCATCACGAAAAAGTGGGGAGTTATCATTAATATCGATAATTTCTACTTCCACTCCATAAATTTTCATTTTATTCTCAACCAAGATGTTCAGACTCACCAAACACCGCGCCGTCTGAGCGCAGAGCTCCTCCCGGTCTATCCTGCCCGCAGTGACCAAGCTGCCGCTTCCCGAGTTTAGAGCAAAAAGCTGCTTCTTACCTCTCGAGATGATCCGGACTCCCCGCTCTGCCAGTTCCTGAGGCTCCAGCCCGAGATCCTTGGCGATGGTGCCCACGAAGGAGCCTCTGTCCAGCTCCTCCCTCACTGAGTAGCGGATCTGCCCGGCCCTGGCTCCCAGCTGCGTCCCCACGAACAGAAAGAGCAGGAGCAGCTCTCTGCAGCCCCAGCCCCTCAGTAGATCCGCCATTGCCTTTTCTCAGACCAGCTTTCTCTTAGTCCTGGTTCCAGCCCGCTGTTTTCTTATTTCTTTATAGTTAAAGGGTACGTATTCCTTGTTGGACATGGGAGAGGGACGCGGGTACAAGGCTTCTCCCTGGAACTTGTCTGGTCTGTGCCGTGTTCAGTGCGGAAGGAGCAGAGAGTTCGGTCGCATCAGCAGCAGCTTCTTTCCCACTTTGGTAAACAGCGACGCTCAGAGTCCTATCCAGTTACTACACCAATTCTGTTTTTATTTCATAAGTGTTTAATTATATTTTATTTCTAATAATTTAGTTGTATCCTTCATGTACTACTGTGTGGCATTGTTTACATTTAATCAAGATTTAATTCTGAAATAGCAAGACTTCCACAACCCCCTGAGATCATTATTAGATTCTTTTTACATCTTTAGAAAAGTTTTATTTAATATGCCATTGAAGCTATGTCCTTTATTTGCCTCTTACCTATATTGAGTCCATTAAATTAGAACATTGTAATTCTTACTTTTGTAGGTTTAAGATTTCATTTTTGTATTAGGATATATTTATGAAAACACACCCATTTGTACATAAGAATGCAAAGAAACAAGAGAAGTCTAGCTCTCAATGCACCTTTGCAAAAAGGCCTACGAATTCACTTACATTGTATTAGAGTTCATACGCAGAAAGAATTAAGGGCCCATTTTGTTAGTTATGAGGTCTTTGAGGGAGTTTTTCACACTAGAAATATGGCAGCTATACTATATTAGACTAAGAGCTTGAGTTGGGTTAGCTATGCACTATTTATATTTTCTTATTAAGATCTCTAAATTGGAGTTAGATGTTACACAGTGACAGGCCCTTGGGGGGGAATCCATATAGTGACTGCAGAGAAAAGGGCTTTAGTTCATCACCCAAACAGAACAACATGTCCATAACTTGACAGTGGACAGGCAATGGACTTTCTATATTGAGGTAGATATTTAATGTTATCACTGTTAGATGGTAGCAGAAGGAAAAAAACCTTATGACTACAAAAAAAGAGAAAGAAAACCATTTCAGAGAGTACATTAAGTGAGAAAGAAAAAATTTACTTAATGATACCTTCATAGGATGTTGTAGAAAAATGAAGATATTCTATATCTATAAATAGAATATTCAAAAATAAAGTTTTAAGTACAGAATGTGAACATGGGTTTCAAAATTCCTCTCAATGTACAATTTTCACAAGAGCAATTTGCTCCTACGCATGAGAGAGAACGATCTCTCCCATTATTAAATCCATTCCTAATAGCAGACACCGCAGAGCTCAAGCTCTGCCTGTCCTTTTAAAATGGGTCTAGAATCCCAAGGCACTTGGCTTGTAAAGACACTCAGACGGCGGGTGTTCGAGTCAGTCCTACCGAGCTCTGCTGTCGACAACCATGACACTGGAGAAAATTTTTCCTCTCTTTGTTTCCTTCCCAGTTTCCCCAAACTAGTAAAAATAGGAAGTTTTCTTTATTCTGAAGTACTATGATTTTAAAAGGCAGTACAACACAAATTTGAGTAATAAAATCCCTGAATGTGATATAAATAAACCTTCAGAGGGAAAGATTGTAAAGATGAAGAAAGATCTCGTGTAGTAAAGCCTTATAATTATAAACAAATAAATCTCACACACTAGGCAGAAAACTGCATCAAGATTTGATTAGATTAAGATAATTAGGGCAGAAAACTGCCTACATTCGACCCACAAGACAATTAAATATGAAATGGAGACTCCTACCCCAGATAAGTGATATGTTAAGAAACATTAAAACCCAAATGAAAATAAGTTAATTAAGTTAAACTCACCTTTAAAACAGTATCTGAGTCAAATAGGCCCTCCCCATCTCCATGATTTGTATTTGGTTCCCAAGAGACATCTTTGCAGAGGAGATCCTGAGGCGGCGCCACTGCCGGGGTCACATTGAGAATATTAAACTCTGTCTTAGCTGACTGTGAAGCAACGCACAGATTGTAGGAATAGGGCAAAGTCCCCTCGCTGTAATTGGGAAGAACCCCGGGGCCAGACTTAGAACTGAGACCAGGCTGAAAGCAGCCCCAAGCAGCAGCACTGGAGGAGCGTCGCAGGCGCAGGGCCACCGCCAGAATCACCGCCAGGAGGAAGAGTACCGAGATCAAGGCCAAGGCCACCACCAGGTAAAACTGCAGCTCAGCCTGGGGGTCAGAGGGTGTGGGGCGTTCGCTGAGGTCCGGCAGGGCCTCTTGTAGGCTGTCAGCGAAGACCAGGAGCAGCGTGGCAGTGGCCGAGAGAGGCGGCTGTCCCCCGTCACGCACAGCGACCAGCAGGCGCTGGCGGACCGCGTCCCTTTCACCCAAAGCTCGCGCTGTGCGCACCTCGCCCGTGCGCAGCCCCAGGCTGAACAGTCCAGGCTCGCTGGCCTGCAGCACGTGGTAGGACAGCCAGGCATTGTGTCCCGAGTCCGCGTCCACCGCCACCACCTTGGTGACCAGGTAGCCCGGCTGCGCGGCGCGCGGCACTGTGTCAAAGAGCGCAGAGCCGTCGGGACCCAGCGCCGGGTAAAGCACCCTTGGGGGGTTGTCGTTGCGGTCGGTCACCAACACGCGCAGGCTGACATTGGTGCTGAGCGCTGGGGAGCCCTGGTCTCGGGCCTGCAGCGTCAGCTGGAAGGCGCGCAGGTGCTCGTGGTCGAAGGCGCGCTGCGCGAACACGACGCCGCTCTGCGCGTTCAGGGACACGTAGGAGGACAGCGCCTGTGGCTCCAGGTCGCTGGCCACGATGGAGTAGGAGATGAGGCTGTTGGGTCCCAGGTCGGGGTCGGAGGCGCTGACCTGCGCAATGGAGGCCCCTGGCGGGTTGTTTTCTGGCACATGAACCAGATAGGCGGACTGTTGGAAAACCGGGGCGTTGTCGTTAACGTCGGTGATGTGCAGAGTGATGGTGGTGCTGGAGGAGAGGGGCGGCTTGCCTCTGTCGGTGGCTGTGATGGTGACGTTGTATTCTGGAGTCTGCTCTCGGTCCAGAGCCCCATGGGTCACCAGCTTGTAATAGTTCTTTGAGTAAGATTTCAACGTAAACTCAGTGTTTCCCAATATGCGGCAAAAAACTTCTCCATTTTCTCCAGAGTCTCTATCTCTTATTTTTATCAAGGCAATCACTGTTCCTGGTGGTGAATCCTCTGGAAGTGGAGTAAGAACTGAGGTTACAATCACTTCAGGTGCACAATCATTCTCATCGAGAATTTCCACTTGGATACTGCAGTGGGCTACTAGATCTCCGGGATCTTTCGCTTCTATACTGAGAGTGTAACTATTAGCAATTTCGAAATCAAAATTATCCTTTGTCGTGATTTCTCCTGTTCTTTTATCTAAGTTAAAAAATCGTTCCACTTGTTCATCCACATTATGAAAGGAGTAGGTGACCTCGGAATTAATGCCCTCGTCCTGGTCTGTGGCTGTCACTGTCAGCACAGAGAAGCCTGGGGGCACGCCCTCCTGCAGGCTGACCCTATACAGGTCCTGGCTGAACACTGGGGGGTTATCGTTGGCATCGGTGACTTGAATTTGGATCTGGGTGGTGCCACTTTGGGGTGGGTCTCCACCATCCACAGCTGTTAGGATCAATTCATGAAAATTCTGCTCCTCTCTGTCCAGGGAATGTTTCAGAATCAACTCAGGATATTTACGTCCATCTGGAGTCTGTTTCTCCACGAGGTCAAAGTACTCATTGTCATTAAGGAGGTATCTTTGCAGTGAATTAGGACCTGCATCAGAATCCAGGGCTGGGTCTAGTGCAAAACTCTTACCCGGCTTAGTGGACTCCACAATTTTTAAATCAATTTTTCTCTGTTTGAATAATGGAATGTTGTCATTTATATCCTGCACGACTACTGCTACTTGGAAAATATTTAGTGGTTTTTCAGTGACAGCATCAAAATCCAGAATACACACAGGCTTCTTCCCGCAAATCTGTTCTCGGTCTATTCTGTCGCTCACAAGTAAGTCCCCGCTGTCAGGGTCTACAGTGAAATATTTCTTCTCCGCGCTAACCCGCAGCTTCCGGACTGGCAAGTCCCGGACACTGAGCCCCAGGTCCTTGGCGAGGTTACCCACCACCGAGTTCTTGGCCAGCTCCTCGGGAACTGAATAGCGAATTTGGTCCGGGAGAGCTCCGCGGAAGAAAGACAGCAGAAAGGGCAACAATACCTGCCGCCACCGCGCTGGGCTGCCTCTCTCTGGGCTCAGCCTCATCTTCTGTCTCCCACCGCTACTGCTCCGCTCCGTTGGTAGCAAAATCCAGGGTAGAGGTAGTTTTTCTGCTTTTGTTTTCTGTAACCGACTCTGTACCGGCCTCTTCCGAGCAGTTGGCTTGAGCAGGAAGTTACCCTCTGACAGGCTCCCAAATGCGTCTCTGACATCCTCTCGCTCTTCTTTTGACCTGCAGCGACGCCCAGAGGTTTTCCCGTGAAACTGCTCCAATAGCTTGCAGATGTTTTGCAAAGAACAATTTTTTTTTCTCTTCAGGAGTTGTATTTACTCGTTTTTAAATAGGTATACATTCACATAGTTCAGCATATCCTATAGACTTTTCCTCTCTGTTTTTAACAACACATTTATCCCAGAGGATTCTTTTCCCCTTTTTGTGTGCACTATTCCAGAGATAGGTTTTGTATAGTGAAGCAGAATTTTATACATGTTTTCCTCTTCTTTTATACATATATGAAAGCATATATATGTACACCATGTTCTGCAGCCTTCTTTGTTCACTCTTTACATCTTGAAGATAGTTTCATATCAGTACATAGAGGGTTTCCATTTATTGTTTAGTTGCGTAGTAGCCCACCATATGGTTGTACAATAATTTTTTAACCGGAAATCATACTTTCTAAAAGCAACCCATTACCCATTCAAACAAAATCATATTTTTGCATGTGCTATTGTTACATATATTGTTCTCCGAGTCATTTAAAATATGTATCTTTCTGATTCTGGAATGTATTCCCAGTACCACCATCCAAATATGTTTGACACAATTTAAGGCCAATTGGTATTTCCAAATTATATTTTAAAGCTTCAGTATTGTATATAACCTCTCCTAGATGTGATTTCTTTCCCAATATTCATTTGTTACTTCCTCTTCTCTCCATGTCAGTTGGTCACTCCATAGCACGTGCTTATTCACCCTGTGTACTGCACCACGACTCCACAACCTCCGTGGTGACAAAAGCACGTAGAAACTGAAACTCTCCTCGAGCTGAATTCAGGCACAACCTATTGCTACAACTTCCAGGTATCCAAATATCACCCACATGTGTGGCCCTAGTCAATTAGAGATTCCAAATGAACTAACAGAACTAAATGAAGGTGTAAGGAACAAAAGTTGCATATCCCTTGCACACAAAATATTTCCGCCTATATCAGATAATTGCAGAGCCACAGTGACAGGGCCACCTGAGAGCAATTTCCAGGAACAGGGATAAGGCCTACTTACTAAGTAGCACAAATTATATAAGTTCAGAATTCAAGTTACCCAACCTTTGTAAGAAGTTCTCATGATGAGAAAGATTTTTCAAAATTTTGCTTTTTAAGAAATAGAGAAGTGTCTTATAAGGATGCCATAATAGGAAACTTAGATATTATTAAAAGTACTCCTACAACCTAAGGAAATGAGTGAAATAAAACGGCCAGTATTGCTGGTGACCAGAGATGGCACCAAAGGAGTCACACGCAGGCATTGCTGGTACATCCCACAAGCTGCAACAGCGAAGTATTTAAAATACACCAGTCCGACTGGGAGACTGTCACTGTTAAAGTCATACCTAAATGTGAAACATTTCCCCAGTATTTATAAATTGCCATTGTTTATTTATAATGGAAAATACCCCTTCAAGTAAAAAAAAAGTAAACTTCAAGAACAATATGTTGGGTATAAAAAGAGGATTTTTTAAAAGATGAAATTTAAAAGTTACTCAGCTCAGATTCAACAATAGCTTCATAACAGAGAATGCTTTAATATGAATTTTCACAATTGCCTTCAATTTACACTTTGATACTTTTAGTGAGACTTAAAGGATAATAGCATTTAAAGAAGTGATGTGATTAGAGTTATAAAATTTAAAAATTGCGGCTAAGCCCTGAAAAGCATTGTCCCATAAGCGAAAGGTCGCGGGTCCAATTCACAGTCAGAGCACATAAGGGAAGCAACACATCTCTCTCCCTCCCCCCCCTTCTCCCTCTCCCTCTTCCATTCTCTTTCTCTCCCTACCTTCCTTTCTCTCTAAATGCTATGAGAAAATGTCCTCAGGTGAGGATTAAATTTTTTAAAAAAAGAAATTGTTGCTGAAACTATTATTAGATGAAGACTCAAATGAGGAGTTAAAAACAAATACCTTTTAGATGCAGAAGATACCTTGATCATTATCGAAGAGTCATCTATCCCTCCCCGTCAAAGCACCAGATACTGAAAAGAAGTCCTCTGTGTGATTTGGTGCACATTTTGTACAACTGGAACTTACACCATCAGAGACACTGCTGCCAGCCCATGTTTCAGTGTGGCAACACTGACTTACCTGATGAGGACTGGCGTCTCCTTTTGTTTCAAGTAAATCCTGAGTTATCAAAAGAGGCTCGCTTTTCTCACAGCTGTCCTGGCTGATGAGCGTGTCTGCATAGTTGGGCTGAGGGAAGATCAGGTGACTCTTCCGAGAGTCCGCGGTGAGGGAGACCTCGTGGGAATAGGTCTGCAGAAACGCCCGCACCCCATCCACGCCCACAAAGTGCGAGGCAGGCACACCTGCCAAACCCCCTCCAGAAGCCTGGAGCAGACTCGACTTATGCCAGCGCCTGAGCCTGAGTGCCAGCAGCACAATGACAAAGGCGAGGAAGACGCAGGAGACCACAGTCACCGCCACCACTAGGTACAGCGTGAGGCTGGAGTCATCAGGATTGGCGGAGGGCTCCAGATTGCTCAACTCTTCCAGAACGTCTGGGATGCTGTCAGCCACAGCCACCGTGAGCGTGACGGTGGCCGACAGAGGGGGCTGGCCGTGGTCCTGAACAGCCACCACTAGGCTCTGCTTGAGCGCATCTCTGTCCAGCAGGGCACGCGCAGTGTGCACCTCGCCCGTGTGCAGCCCCACCACAAAGAGCCCTGGCTCGCTGGCCTTGAGCAGGCGGTAGGACAGCCAGGCGTTCTGGCCTGAGTCTCTGTCCACTGCCACCACCTTAGTCACCAGGTAGCCTGGTTCTGCAGAGCGGGGCGCCAGTTCCACACCAGTGGAACCATCTGTGGGGAGGGTGGGGTAGAGGATTTCAGGTGCATTGTCATTCTGATCCAGCACAAACAAGCTTAGAGACACATTACTGCTGAGTGGAGGATCCCCACTGTCACTGGCTGTCACCACTAGTTGCAGGTCTCTAACCTGCTCATAGTCAAAGGAGCACAGTGCATACAGGACACCTGTGTCAGAGTTGATGGAGACATAGGAGGAGAGAGGCTCCCCCTGGAGCATGCCTTCAGCCAGGGAGTAAGTGACTCTGGCATTCTCGATGCTGTCAGGGTCCTGGGCAGTCATGGATAAAATGGAGGCTCCTCTGGGGTTGTTTTCAGGAACATAAGCAGAATATGAAGCATGAGAAAAGGCAGGAGGGTTGTCATTGATGTCTATCAGCTGCAGTGAGATGTGAGTTTGTGTAGACAGTTGTGGAGTTCCATGGTCAGTGGCAGTTACTGTGATGTTATATTCTGAGACTTCTTCCCTATCCAGCATTCTGTGTGTCAACAATCGATAATAATTTCCATAGGTCTTTTCAAGTGTGAACGGCAGATTATTTGGAATAGAACAGGTGACAAGGCCATTCTCTCCTGAATCACTGTCATGCACATTGAAAAGTGCAATTACTGTGCCTGGAGAAGAAGTTTCTTGGATAGAGCTGGTGAGCGATGTAACCATGACTTCTGGAGCATTGTCATTTACATCCAGAACTGTCACCAGCACTTTACTTCTGGCTCGGAGACCAGGACCATCGTGAGCTTCTATATCTATATCGTAGAATCCAGAGTCCTCATAATCTAGATCCCCCAGTATTGTTATATCCCCAGTCACAGAATTCAACTGGAATAGCTGCGATATTTTATCTCTTACTTTACGGAAAGAATATGTCACTTCTCCATTGGCTCCTTCATCTGAATCAGTGGCTTTAACGGTGACGATTCGGAAGCCCACCGGCACATTCTCCGGAACGCTCACGTGGTACTCGGGCTGAGTGAATAGCGGGGCATTGTCATTGGTATCCACAAGTGTTATACGAATCCGGGTAGTGCCAGAGTGAACCAGGTCGCCTCCATCGAAGGCAGTGAGAACCAGGTGGTGAACCGCCTCTTCCTCTCGGTCCAGAGCGCGCTCCAGCACTAGCTCAGGGTACTTTATCCCATCAGCTCCGTTTTGCACGTCCAGGGAGAAGTGAGCGTTCGAGCTGAGCTGGTAACCCTGCAGGGAGTTTACCCCTACATCCGGATCAAAAGCTTCAGGAAGAGGGAATCTTGTCCCAGGACTTCTCATTTTCAGCAACTTTTATTTCCCTTTGCTCTGTCCCAAAGTTGGGCGCGTTATCATTAACATCGATTATTTCCACTTCTACTCCAACAATCCTCACTTTGTCCTCTAGGAGAATCTCCAGGCTTACTACACACTTTGGAGATCTATCACAGAGCTCCTCCCGGTCTATCCTGCCCGCGGTGACCAAGATGCCGCTTCTCCGGTTCAGAGCAAAGAGCGGGGTCCTACCTCTGGAGACGATGCGGACTCCGCGCTCCTCCAGCTCCCGGGGCTCCAGCCCCAGGTCCTTGGCGATGTTGCCCACGAAGGAACCTTTCTCTAGCTCCTCAGGCACAGAGTAGCGGATCTGTTCCGCCCGGATTTCCCACAGGGTCCCCAGGAGAAGGCAAATCCCAACCAGCCTGCTCAGCCTGCTGCAGTCTGGACGATGAGGAGGAGCCGCCATTACAAAACCGCGGTGGAGAAGCTTGCGCTTGGGTTTTCCCTTGGTGGAGGCCGGAGGAGCCTTAGGATCTTCGTATTCCCAGATAACGTACTTGCACTGCCGGCTGGAGCTCGGGGGTTCAGTTTGGAGCTTTAGTAAAGCCCCAGGGTCAGTGCTTTGTGATGCAGAAATCTTGTGGTTCGCGTTAAATTCCCGGTTGTTGTTTGGTAAGCAGCGACACTCAGAGTCCTAACCTGTTATTGCAAGCTGTTCTTGGTAAAACATCACCAGTGTACCCCATTTCTTCTCCGTATCTTATTTCCCCCCCTAAATAAAAGTGAAATTCTTGTTTTTATATGCAATAAAATAAAGAAACAATAAAAATCTCCCTGTACAATAATCTTTATAAAATAATTATTTTTTCAGAGAAAACATGGTGACTTTTTTTCTAAGAAAATTTTAGTTTTTGCGTTATGTATTCTCATAGTCTATTTTCAGGACAGTGTATTGTGTGAGAGACACATTTGTCCCACCCAGGAACGAGGATGGACTTGAAGAATAAAAAAAAAAAGATAAAACACCAGTGTCTGGGAAATTGGAAATCTGGACTCTAGTCCCAACCTATGCAGAAACAAGTTTCTTCACAGGAATGGATCTTTTAGAATCTAGGGTGACTTTTTAATTCTCATAAAGAAAATATCTACCACTCAAGAGCTAGTCTTATCCCTGCGCCAGTGGGACTGGCAGATACAGTAACGGTTTGGGAAGAGAATTTGCTCGTTAATTTTCTATACAGAAGATTCGAGGCCAAGGGCTATGTTTGTGAATATCAGGTTCACAATGAATCTTCAGACTTTAGAACACCCCCCTTCACAGAGCATTCATGCCGCTTTTCAGTGCTTAATGAATGAGTCACTAATGCAACAGCAAAGCCTACAACAATGGATAAATAACTCTGATCTTAAAAATTAAAAAAGATAAGAAGGAAAAGTTAGAGTGAAGAACTTTAAAAACAGGCAATATTTCACTGATGTTTTTCAACATAAGGATACATCCAGAAGGTACTATTTTACCATTATTTCTAAGTTTACTTTAGCTTTGATTTCAGACATAACAAGTGAAAGGAAACATTTTAGAATTTGTGTATATATTATCTTTGCATGTTTCTTAGTTTTATTATTCAAGAAAACTTGGAGTAATTTACTAATCTGGGAGAACTTGAGATAGACAAACAAGTACCTAGTTCTTTAGATTGTTCCCCACGTAATAATTAACTTCTATAAATTACTCACAAATTTTAACCAAACACAAAAGTCCATTGACCATTTAGAGCTTTTAAATTTTCAGACTTTGTAGAGTAGATTAAAGGTAGGTTTTACAATTCTCAAAAGATCCACAAATTGCCAGGGATGGGGGGGGATATTCATTACATTTATTATTAAAATAATGACAAAGTAGAATGGGTATGAAAATTAGTTATTAAAGAAGGATTAAGAAAATTAGTCTTAAATGAGATTATGAAGTGGGAATAAATTGACCCAAAGGTAGTGATTCAAATGTAAAACCTGACAGTCTTGCTACATGTGGTAAGGTTAAGAAGTGCTAAGAGACTTCAATTCAAAAGCTATATTAAAAATACACATTGCAATGAAAAATAACAACTAGGATGTATTTGATATTTAATGCAGGCAGAAAGACCTGCCAGTACATTTTTTGGGGAAAAAAGTATCTTAACTAAGAAACTGTTGTGCTACTACCAAAAGTAGTGACAATCAAGAAAAGCTCTCTTTAGCAAGATATGCTGACCATACAGAAATGCCAACCATACAGGCTGAGAAGTAGTAGTTAGGTAATTGCCAAGTGTACTGAGCAATCAAGGGGCCCAGCTCCACCCATCCAATACACCTTCTCTCCTACTACCACTACCAGAACAGTGAATGACGACCAAAAGTAATTATGTACACTGAGAATAAAGCACAAGATATAAAATTTAAGTAGGCTTGCAGAAACTCACATGTGAGGAAAAAGAGGAGTCATATGCCACTTGGGGGTCTTCGTTACTGGCACATACATCCACAGGATCTTCAAACAGGAGATCCTGAGGCGGCGCCACTGCCGGGGTCACGTTGAGAATATTAAACTCTGTCTTAGCTGACTGTGAAGCAACGCACAGATTGTAGGAATAGGGCAAAGTCCCCTCGCTGTAATTGGGAAGAACCCCGGGGCCAGACTTAGAACTGAGACCAGGCTGAAAGCAGCCCCAAGCAGCAGCACTGGAGGAGCGTCGCAGGCGCAGGGCCACCGCCAGAATCACCGCCAGGAGGAAGAGCACCGAGATCAAGGCCAAGGCCACCACCAGGTAAAACTGCAGCTCAGCCTGGGGGTCAGAGGGTGTGGGGCGTTCGCTGAGGTCCGGCAGGGCCTCTTGTAGGCTGTCAGCGAAGACCAGGAGCAGCGTGGCAGTGGCCGAGAGAGGCGGCTGTCCCCCATCGCGCACAGCGACCAGCAGGCGCTGGCGGACCGCGTCCCTTTCACCCAAAGCACGCGCTGTGCGCACCTCGCCCGTGCGCAGCCCCAGGCTGAACAGTCCAGGCTCGCTGGCCTGCAGCACGTGGTAGGACAGCCAGGCATTGTGTCCCGAGTCCGCGTCCACAGCCACCACCTTGGTGACCAGGTAGCCCGGCTGCGCGGCGCGAGGCACTGTGTCAAAGAGCGCAGAGCCGTCGGGACCCAGCGCCGGGTAAAGCACCCTTGGGGGGTTGTCGTTGCGGTCGGTCACCAACACGCGCAGGCTGACATTGGTGCTGAGCGCTGGGGAGCCCTGGTCTCGGGCCTGCAGCGTCAGCTGGAAGGCGCGCAGGTGCTCGTGGTCGAAGGCGCGCTGCGCGAACACCACGCCGCTCTGCGCGTTCACGGACACGTAGGAGGACAGCGCCTGTGGCTCCAGGTCGCTGGCCACGATGGAGTAGGAGATGAGGCCGTTGGGTCCCAGGTCGGGGTCGGAGGCGCTGACCTGCGCAATGGAGGCCCCTGGCGGGTTGTTTTCTGGCACATGGACCAGGTAGGCGGACTGTTGGAAAACCGGGGCGTTGTCATTGACGTCTCCAATGTGTACTGTGATGGTGGTGCTGGAGGAGAGGGATGGCTTGCCCTTGTCAGTAGCTGTGATGGTGACATTGTACTCTGCTATCTGCTCCCGGTCTAAAGCACTTTCAATCATCAGCTTGTAATAATTCTTGGAAGTGGATTCTAATTTGAAGGGAACTTCTTCCTGAATATAGCACATCACCAGACCATTTTGCCCAGAGTCTTGGTCATGCACTTTAATGAGAGCTATTACAGTTCCAAGGTCTGAGTTTTCGGGAATCTTGTTAGAAAAGGACATAAATGTCACCTCTGGTGCATTGTCATTCTCATCGACAATTTCGATATGAACATTGCAGTGAGCTGTGTGTACTCCTCCATCCTTGGCTTCTATAGCCAACATATATATACTTGTCTCTTCAAAGTCCAGTGTACCATTGGTTGTGATATCACCAGTATTTGGATTGAGATTAAAGAGGAAGTTGGTGCTCGCTGGGGCATTGAGGAAGGCGTAGGTGATCTGTGCATTAACACCCTCGTCCTGGTCAGTGGCCTTCACACACAGCACAGAGGTTCCCCGGGGCACATTTTCTTGAAGTCTAACTCTGTACGTGTCCTGGTTGAACACTGGACCATTATCATTGGCATCCATGACTTGGATCTGGATCTGGGTGGTGCCACTTAGAGGAGGGTCCCCGCCATCCACGGCAGTCAGGATTAAGTGGTGGAAACTCTGCTGTTCTCTGTCCAGAGGTTTTTCCAGCAGTAATTCTGGGTATTTACTTCCATCGGGACTTTCTTTTGTTGACAGAGAGAAGTAGTCATTGGGGCTGATGGCGTAAACTTTCAATGAGTTACTTTCTACATCTGCATCCTGTGCAGAATCCAGTGGGAATTTTACACCCGGTAATGCTGATTCACAGATTTCTAAGTCAATGCCTTTTGCAATGAAACGTGGCACATTGTCATTAATATCTTGGACTGCAACAATCACATGGAACACATTCATTGGGTTTTCAGCGACAATTTCAAATTCTAGCACACACTTAGATTTTTTCCCGCAAATCTTCTCTCTATCTATCCTACCGCTCACTAACAAGTCCCCACTTTCCATATTCACATTGAAAAATTCCTCTGCACTAACCCGCAGCTTTCGAGCTGGCAACTCCTGGACACTGAGTCTCAGATCCTTGGCGAGGTTTCCCACCCTGGATCCCTTGGCCAGCTCCTCTGGAATCATGTACTGTATCTGCTGGGAGATGGCCCCGCACAACAAAGACAGCAAGAAGAGAAACAGTACCTGCCTTTTCATCGTTTCAGCTTGTCTGGAGCTCCTTTGCATTTCTTGAACTCGGTGAAGAAGCTTCTTTTCAAGATGTCTCTGGGATGTTTAAAAAATCAATGACAGTACCCTGGGCTTGATGGTAGGACTTGCTAGGCGGTGTTCTGCGGTGCGCAGGACAAAGCTGGAAAGCACTCCGCCGGAAACGCCGGAAACGCCGCAGAACCGAGAATCCCTTTCTTCCCTTTGGTCTACAGCGGCGCCCAGAGGTTGTCTGGGAAAACTGCACCTAGCCTAGCTATTTATCCTCAAAGTGTAAGCTCTTGAATTTATGCATTGTCCTTTTATTTGTTGGAAAGAACCAAGCATTTAAAAATTCCCTTTAAATGTAAAATTTTCTAGTTTTTTGCCATCTCATAAGCATTGCCACCATCGTACATTATTATTTTTTTATTAAAATATCTCATGAAGCATAGGCATTTTTTTTCAGCCCAGGGGGCAAAAATATCTTCCATGATTTCACTGTATTTATAAAGTTGGTTTGACTAGTATGAATATAATGAAATAAGTTACTGGCTTTTAATCAACTATGATCCTTGCATTTTTGTAAGTCCATAACTTCTCCTATTTTGTATTTTAACTCTCCTCATACATACTTCATCAATTCAGTAATACTTTTCAAAGAATGCTGTAGGCTTATTTTTAATACATTGCCCATCTTTTTAAAACATAATCTTCCTGTTATGCACAGTAGAGCCTGATATTTTGTTAAAGGGACTGATTTAGTATTTGGGTGCACATACATGCATCTATGAAGCAGAATCTTGTGGAAGCCATATTTATTTTTTAGAAAACCAGTACTTCTTTCTTATTTGAATGTATATGTAAGATTCCATAATCCCAATTTTCATCTCCAGCTAATGTATATCATTAATAAGTGAAAAGAGTTTGACCCGATTACTAGTTTTAACCTTAGAAAGGCATTGAGAGTCCTTAGACACTCCAGTTTAGAACTTACAACCCAAGAACTGGTGTTGGGCAACTAAAACAAACCGATGCACCATCAAATAGATACCAACTCAACAATTTGTTCTATGTTTGGCAGTGCTGGCCTGTATGCACTGTCCACTCCCGGGAAAACAGACTACTATCTGTTTTCCTAAGACATCCTTTCCCTTGTTTTCCGTACTTCACACCTTTATATTTTCTCGTCCTTTTGTTAGAATCCCTTCTCCCATTCTCTGGTAATGAATTCACGCCTGTGGTGGAAACAGGATGCCTGGGAGCACTTCCCTTCTATTTGCATCTTTACACCATATATGTAGGCGATGTGTTGTATGGGATTCTTAGAAAATTCTCTTTGAACATTTAAAGTTCTCCTGGCACTAGCCATTTAACAATTTTTTCTCCTTACAAAAAAAGTGATGTTAATATTATAAAGATTTTTTTCTAAAAAGAGATTCCAAAGATTATGTGCCATTTTCCCCATTTTCCACTTGCGTGCTTGAGTAAGAACACACCCTACTCTGTTTTCAGTTATTTGTTCAGGCCCTGTTGTGACACACTTTCCAATGTACCTCTTCATAACAGATTGAGAGGGACAGTTGCTCCTTTGCTTGAAATCTAATGAAATATATTTTGGTCTAACTTTGGATGACTCTCCGATATGATTTTACAGCTGAAAGTAATTTTATAAATTTCAAAGTGAACCAACTATTTCTGGCCCAAGTAAATTGAAGACTTCTATTTCAGCATTGGAGTCTGGAAATCTCTCATAAAGGCTGAGACATATCTCCTTAAATACTTTTTCCTTCTCAAAGGACAAGACATACCACTCCAAGGCTCCTAACAGTTTAGGCAATTGATTTCACTTTCAGGCAAACAGCTTAAGTCAACATGAATACACATATATGCACACATTTCAGTTATACATAATAGGAACTGTAAGCCAAGTGAAAACAATTTGACCATCTATATTTTTTACCACACAATTTTTTGTGTCTTTGAGATGAAGGGTGTGGCCTGGCTTGGAATGAGTTAAGCATCATTTTCTGGGATCCTAAAATAACTAACTAAACATATATATATATACACATATATATACACATACATATATATAGGGTGTGTGTATGTATATACATATATATAGTGTGTGTGTGTATATATATATATATACACACACACACGCATACACTTGTTTGTAACAGTCAGGATAGGTTAGGTAGGCTGGAGTGACAAACTTCAAGCCACATGGATTTAACATGGTCTATCTGTCACAGATACAGGTAATATTGGGTAAACCACAAGATTCTTTTTTCATCTTAGCTTTTCAATGATTCAGATAGAGGAGCAGTCACAATTTCAAAGAGTATCTTAGAGATCTGGAAATTCTCACAAAGGAAACTGGAGCTTCCTACAAAAAAGGGCACACCTACTTCCATTTACAATGCCTTGGCCAGAACTAGTTACCTAGGTTGACTCAGCTACACCAGACCAGGAAGTGCAGACCTACCATGGGCCCAAAAGGAGAGAGGAACAACTATTTAAACAATAGGACTAAGCTTTATAATAACCACACTGGCATAATTGTTTCTTATAATATTCAAAAAATAAAATAAACTTACCTGAAGTAGCTTGGAGTCTCCTTTCGCTTCCAGTAAATCTTGAGCTACCAGGAGAGGCTCGCTTTTCTCGCAGCTGTCCTGGCTGATGAGCGTGTCTGCATAGTTGGGCTGCGGGAAGATCAGGTGACTCTTCCGAGAGTCCGCGGTGAGGGAGACCTCGTGGGAATAGGTCTGCAGGAACGCCCGCACCCCATCCATGCCCACAAAGTGTGAGGTGGGCACACCTGCCAACCCCCCTCCTGAAGCCTGGAGCAGATGTGACTTATGCCAGCGCCTGAGCCTGAGTGCCAGCAATACAATGACAAATGCAAGGAAGAGGCAGGAGACTGCAGCCACTGCCACCACCAGGTACAATGTGAGGTCTGAGGCCTCTGGGGTTGAAGGGATCTCAAGACTGCCTAAGTCAGCCAACACATCTGGGATGCTGTCAGCCACTGCCACAGTAAGCGTGACAGTTGCTGAGAGAGGAGGCTGTCCATGGTCCTGGACTGCCACCACCAGACTCTGCTTGAGTGAGTCTCTGTCCTGCAGAGCGCGCGCAGTGTGCACCTCGCCCGTGTGCAGCCCCACCACAAAGAGCCCTGGCTCGCTGGCCTTGAGCAGGCGGTAGGACAGCCAGGCGTTCTGGCCTGAGTCTCTGTCCACTGCCACCACCTTGGTGACCAGATAGCCAGGCTCTGCAGAGCGGGGTGCCAACTCCACACCAGTGGAACCATCAGTGGGGAGCGAGGGGTACAGAATCTCTGGTGCGTTGTCATTTTGGTCTAGCACAAACAGACTTAGAGACACATTGCTGCTGAGAGGTGGGTCCCCACTATCAGTGGCTGTCACCAGTAGTTTCAGGTCTCTAACCTCCTCATAGTCGAAAGATCGAAGAGCATAGAGGACTCCTGTATCAGAGTTGATGGAGATATAAGTGGAGAGAGGTGCCCCCTGGACAGTATCCTCAGTAAGTGCATAAGTGATGTGGGCGTTCTCAATGCTGTCAGGGTCCTGGGCAGTAACAGAGAAGATGGAAGCACCCCTGGGGTTATTTTCTGGAATGTAGGCAGAATAGGAGGCATGAGTGAAGGCAGGTGGGTTGTCATTGATGTCTGCCACATGCAGGGCAATGTGAGTGTCTGTAGACAGTGGTGGACTTCCCTCATCTGTTGCTCTCAGAGTGATGTTATATTCAGAAGTCCGTTCCCGGTCCAGGGATCTGGCTGTCACTAAGCGGTAATATTGGTCTATTGATTTTTCCAAATTAAATGGCATATTTCCCAGGACAACAACTGTGACTTGCCCATTTTGCCCAGAATCCCGGTCATGGACATTGACAAGGGCAACTTCTTTTCCAGCAGTTGCCTCTTCTGAGATCGATCCTGTGAAAGAAGTGATTGTAATTTCTGGAGCATTGTCATTCACATCCAGAACTGTCACAAGAACCTTAGCTTTTGAGAGGAGACCTGGTCCATCTTGTGCTTCAATTTTAATTTCATGGAACATAGCATCCTCATAGTCTAGACTTTTTGATATGGTTATGTCTCCAGTGACTGAGTTGAGATTAAAAATCTGAGCAATTTTTCCAGGCATTTTATCTAGTATATAGGACACTTGAGCATTGAATCCTTCATCAGGGTCAGTGGCATTCACAGTGAGCAGCCAGGTACCCACTGGCAAATTCTCCTGAACACTTACTCGGTACTCAGGCTGAGTAAATACCGGTGGGTTATCATTCGCATCCAGAACTATTACTTGGATGCACAAGTTGCCAGAGTGAACAGGGTCCCCACCATCAAAAGCAATGAGGAGAAGCTGATGAATTTTTTTTTCCTCACGGTCCAGAGCCCGCTCTAGCACCAGCTCTGGGTACTTGGCCCCATCAGACACAATCTTCACAGCCAGAGAGAAGTAGTCATTGGGGCTGAGCTGGTAGTTCTGCAGCGAGTTCATGCCTACATCTGGGTCAAACGCAGTCTTAAGTGGAAATCGAGTTCCAGGAGCCGTTAGTTCACCAATTTTTATTTCCAATTCCTCCGTTAGAAAATCAGGAGCATTGTCATTAATATCTTTAATTTCTATTTCTACTTCAAAAATTTTCAATTTGTCTTCAACCAGGATGTTAAATTTTACTAGACACCGAGGGCTCTGAGCGCAGAGCTCCTCCCGGTCTATCCTGCCCGCGGTGACCAAGCTGCCGCTTCGCAAGTTCAGAGCAAAGAGCTGCGTCCTACCTCTGGAGACGATGCGGACTCCCCGCTCTGTCAGCTCCGGGGGCTTCAGCGCCAGGTCCTTGGAGATGTTGCCCACGAAGGCGCCTTTGTCCAGCTCCTCCAGCACTGAGTAGCGGATCTGCCCGGATCCAGTCGTGCACAGCGTCCCCAGAAGCGTGCAGAGCAGGGCCAGTCCTCTGCCGTTTCTGATCAGATAATTCGTCATTTCCTTTTTGGTGAATTATTCTTTCTTTATCCGGTTCCAGTCTCCCACAACGGAATCCACTTTTATCTTCTCAATGAGCTAAGCCCTTTGTGGGCCAGTTTCATAGGGCACAGTGCTGGCTGACCGACAGGGTGAGTGTAGCAGTCCAGGATCTTCTAAGTCTGGTTTGCTGACTCTTTGCTTTTGAGTAACAAGGAAATGGTGGACCAGCTCTCCCATGGCATTTCTCTCCTTGAGTGGTCAACAGCGACGCCCAGAGGACTAACCGTTCACTGCACCCTTTTGGACAAACTCAAGTTTGTATTTTTAAAGTTATCCAACACCCAAAATCCTTTTTATCATAGGTAACGGGATTGGTGTTTACTTCACATAATTGAAATACTTTACATGAAAGGATGTGACTTCAAGTTATTTCCTCCAGAAGCCATGCACTAACCATAATGCCACCAATATTGCTTCAAACATGCTGGAGTTACTCTCGAAATATTCAAAGTTTAAGAACCACATAGAAACACCAGCCATTATTTATACATTATCCCTCTTGATGTTTGTTTCTGAGAACCTGACATATTAGTTTTAATATTTTTATTTAACCAATTCATTAAACAAACATATAATTGGGTGTCGGACAATATCTGGGGATTTCAGATGAACCATATGGACAAGCCACTTCCTTCACAGAAATGATGAAGGTGTAAACGCAAACAAGGGATGACAGTGCATAATCACTTTTGCCTTGGAGTTTAGCAAAGGCTTTGAGAGGAATGGATTGGGGGAAAGGCCTGGAAGTGAGAGAACAGAATGGCAATGCCTGGATGAGAGCAAGAAATCACAGAACATCAGGGCACTGAATGTAGTTCACCTTGCTTCAATCTAGAGTGTGAGGAGGGGTTTTCAGACCCAAACTGAAACTAGTAGAGATAAACATTTGTTTTATGTCCCATAGACCTTTTATTTGTATTTGTTTTCCTCTCCAAGCACAAAAGAGGAATACAATACAGTAATACAGTGGTCACTTAAATTTTGAGCCATCATGTAGTCGTGTATAAGGCATTTATTCTTGTGTTACTATACACATTAAAATAAACTGTCTTTAATTTTCCTCAGTTCACAATTTATTAATTACTTACAAGATGTTATAGGGTATTATTCCACAGTGAGCTCTATTTTTTTATAGAGGATTATATAATAGTAATAAACACAATGGAATACATTGTCTCAGATCAATTTTCCCTCAGATGCCTTTAAATATCATAATCACTGCACAGTGAAAGATGTTACCATTAAATACAAGACTCAGTTAGTACATTATTACTTCTAAATAAAAATAAAAATAATCCCAGTTACATAGAATATTAGCATATCGTTTTTCCTCTGTTATTAAATACATGGCTAAAATACTAAAAACCAACATGGAAAGATGAGTGGGGAAGGAAAGCCGTGGTTGTGAGGAGAACTGAGGTCAGGTGAGGAATTAGAAATGTTTTGGTTTTTTTAATTGGGATATTTATTTACTGAATCCTCTGTGTCTTACCTGGGCCCCAAATACAGACTCCATGTGAAGAGAGGCCATTTGAGGTTGGGACCATCCTCAACCTCAAATGCTATGAGAAGGAAGATTTGAAAAGAGAAATGTACATCCCTGGCTGGTGTGGCTCAGTGGATTGAGTGTGAACCTGCAAACCAAAGGGTTGCTGGTTGGTTCAATTCCTGGTCAGGGCACATGCCTTGGTTGCAGGCCAGTCCCCAGCAGGGGATATGTAAGAGACAACCACACATTAACGTTTCTCTCCCTCTCTTTCTCTCTTCCTTTCCCTCTCTAAAAACAAATAAGTAACATTTTTAAAAAGAGAGACATATATAAAGAAAGCTTTAGGGAAAATTATTGGCATACTCTTTAAATCCCTTGAGAATATATATTATTTTTAAAGATAGAAGGCGCCCTGGCTGGTGTGGCTCAGTGGATTGAGCGCAGGCCTGCGAACCACATAATTGCGGTCCAATTCCCAGTCAGGGCACATGCCTGGTTTGCAGTCCAGTTCCCAGCAGGGGACCCATGAGACACAACCATACATTGACATTTCTCTCCCTCTTTCCTTCCCTTCCTCTCTAAAGATAAAAAAATAAAACCTTTAAAATTTTTTTTAAAAAGATAGAAGGCAATATGGCTATCAGATATAAGAAAAATAACATCAAAGAGAAACATTTTCACTACTACACTACCAATTTACTATAGAACAAACAATAATTCAATCACTTTTTCAAGAACCAAAGAGCTACTGTAGAGGTAAATGAGATTTTTTAACTAAGCAGAGATACCACAGTGTATCTTCCTGAAACATGGCGAAGCATGTGTATTCCTAAATTTTGATCTTTTATTTATTTAATTTTTTAAAACGATTTTATTTATTTATCTTTAGAGGGGAAGGGAAGGAGAGAGGGAGAGAAACATCCATGTATGGTTGCCTTTCGTGCATCCCCTGCTGGGAACTGGCCTGCAGGGAACCGGCCTGCAGCCCTGGTATATGCCTGACTGGGAATCGAACCGCGATTGTCTGGTTCGCAGGCCTGCGCTCAATCCACTGAGCTACACCAGCCAGGGCAAATTTCAATCTTTTAAATGAGAAAGGCCATACAAGTCAAGTAAAATGAAGAATCTCACTGCCAAGCTAAGGAAAAATAAGATTGAGTGAGCAGAAAATAACCAAATCGAGTGTTTCATTATTCATAAACAAAACCAAATATAAAATAGAAAACTCTTAAATTTTAAAGCACTTGAGAAAACAACCTTTGTATTTTTAAGAGAGAAGGAATTGTTGATTCAGGTAGATGAGGTGAGTCACATAAGGATGGGAAGTAAAGTATAAGAAGTGAGATATCCCAGTTCCAATGCTCTTTTGAGTTCTTAAAGACCATCTTCACCTACTAACTCCTGATTTATACTTATGACACCATGATTCTGGCCCTTCTTCCTCTTTACAATGTGTGAACACTTGGAAGTAGTGAGAAGTAATTCATCAGGACTCATTTTCTAAAAATTGAATATATTCTCAAGGAAATATGGGAAATAGAAGAGAGATGGTAAACAGTGGAGAAAGCTAAGTAAATAAGTAATTTTATTTATTTTAACGATAGCTTATACATATATCGTGGAGAGAGTTTACCTGAGGAATTGCTTCTTCTCCTTTGTCTTCAAGTAAAGACTGAGGTGCTGACAGAAGATCATTTTTCTCGCAGCTGTCCTGGCTGATGAGCGTGTCTGCATAGTTGGGCTGCGGGAAGATCAGGTGACTCTTCCGAGAGTCCGCAGTGAGGGAGACCTCGTGGGAATAGGTCTGCAGGAACGCCCGCACCCCGTCCACGCCCACAAAGTGTGAGGTGGGCACACTTGCCAAACCCTCTCCCGAAGCCTGGAGCAGACGTGATGTGTGCCAGCGCCTGAGCCTGAGTGCCAGCAGCACGATGACAAAGGCGAGGAAGACGCAGGAGACTGCGGTCACTGCCACCACTAGGTACAGCGTGAGGCTGGAGTCATCAGGATGGGTGGAGGGCTCCAGATTGCCCAGGTCGGCCAGGACATCTGGGATGCTGTCAGCCACGGCCACGGTGAGGGTGACAGTGGCCGAGAGAGGGGGCTGTCCATGATCCTGAACAGCCACCACCAGACTCTGCTTGAGTGCATCTCTGTCCAGCAGGGCACGCGCAGTGCGCACCTCCCCCGTGTGCAGCCCCACCACAAAGAGCCCTGGCTCGCTGGCCTTGAGCAGGCGGTAGGACAGCCAGGCGTTCTGGCCTGAGTCTCTGTCCACAGCCACCACCTTGGTCACTAGGTAGCCGGGTTCTGCAGAGCGAGGTGCCAGCTCCACACCAGTGGAACCGTCTGTGGGGAGGGCGGGGTACAGGATCTCCGGTGTGTTGTCATTTTGATCCAGAACAAATAGGCTCAGAGACACATTGCTACCAAGAGGTGGGTTCCCGCTGTCCTGTGCTGTCACCCACAATTGAAGTTCTTGAAATTGCTCATAGTCAAAGGAGCGCAGCGCGTATAGAACACCGGTGTCAGAGTTGATGGAGATGTAGGACGACAGGGGTGCCCCCTGAAGGGTGTACTCAGTCAAGGAGTAAGTTACGTGGGCGTTGTGGTCGCTGTCAGGGTCGTGGGCCTTCACAGAGATGATGGAGGCTCCTCTGGGGTTGTTTTCAGGAATGTAGGCAGAGTAGGAGGAGTGAAAAAAGGTGGGCGGGTTGTCATTGATGTCTGCCACTTGCAGCAAAATGTGAGCATCTGTGGACAGAGACGGGTTCCCTCCATCTTTAGCAGTCACAGTGATGTTGTAAGAGGAAAACTGCTCCCTGTCAAGGGCTCTGGTTGTAACTAGTCGGTGGTAATTGTCCACTGACCTTTCTAACTTGAAAGGAATGTCCTCTGGGAGTGAACATGTGATAAATGCATTCTGACCAGAGTCTCTATCATGTACGTTGAAAAGTGCAATTATGGTTCCTGGAGGAGAGTCTTCGGAGACTGAGCTAGTAGCAGTGGTCATGTAAAATTCTGGGGCATTGTCATTCACATCCAGAACTGTGACAATAACCTTCGTTCTTGTCAGAAGGCCTGGACCATCCTGAGCTTCAATATCAATTTCATGGAATTTGGCATCCTCATAATCTAGACTTTTTATGATTGCTATATCTCCAGATGCTGACTCGAGCTCAAATATCTCTGAGGGTTTCCCAGGGTTTTTCTCTTGAAAATATGCCACTTGAGCATTGTATCCCTCATCTGCATCAGTGGCGGTCACTGTGAGTATCCGGGTGCCTACGGGAATATTCTCTGGAACACTTACGTGGTATTCAGGCTGTGTAAAAACGGGTGCGTTGTCGTTCACATCCAGGACCATTACGCGGATGCGGGAGGTGCCAGATCGGACTGGGTCACCCCCGTCCAAAGCCACGAGAATGAGGTGGTGAACAGCCTCTTCCTCGCGGTCGAGGTAGCGCTCCAGCACCAGCTCTGGATACTTGTTCCCATCCGTCCCGCTTCGCACATCCAGGGAGAAGAGGTCATTTGGGTTAAGTTCATACTTCTGGAGAGTGTTCTCTCCTACGTCCGCATCATGAGCACTCTTCAGAGGAATCCGAAATCCCGGCGTAGTTGTTTCACTGATTTTTAGCTCCAGTTCCTCTACTCCAAACCGAGGGGCATTATCATTAATATCTGTTATTTCCACTTCTACTGAATATATAGTCAATTTATCTTCCAAAAGAATGTTAAAGTTCACCAGACACCGCGCACTCTGAGCGCAGAGCTCCTCCCGGTCTACCCTGCCCGCCGTGACCAAGCTGCCGCTCCGGGGATTGAGAGCAAAGAGCTGCGTCCTACCTCTGGAGACGACGCGAACGCCGCGTTCCACCAGTACCAGGGGTTCCAAACCCAAGTCCTTGGCGATGCTGCCCACGAAGGAGCCTTTGTCGATCTCTTCTAACACAGAGTAACGCAGCTGCCCAACTCCAGCCTCCCACAGAGCCGCCGAAAGGAGATACAGCAGGACCAGTTTTCCGCGTTGTGGCAATTTTTGCAGAACCGCCATTCCTTCTGTCGCAGTCTTTTCTCCGAGGCAACTTCCAGCATACAGTGCGGGATCTTTATTCCTCAGGGTCTGGGGTGACCAGCATTCACGGGGTCCAGCTCACTGTGGAGAGAACTAGTGGGCTGGGGACTGAATTTCCTAGCCACGCGGAAGCTTGCGGTGAAATGCCCAGCCCTTTTGTTGTGGCCGCGGTAGTGTAGGATCGGAGGTGTTGCAGGCTTTTACTTCTTGGGTGGTCAACAGCGACGCTCAGAGGCCTAAGTAATATCTGCACCCTATCAGGCAAATCCAAGTTCCGGGAATTTGTTTAGGTTGCTTTGTGATTTCAAGTTTCTTTGAAGAATCTTACATTTCTAAGATAGCTTAGAAGTAGCTCTTTCAAGTCAGGAGTCTTTCTCTCAGAATTAGTAAGAATGGTGTAAACGAATGTGACCTTGACAGTAGTTACTAGGAAAGGATTACTGAAGTTCAAGGCATTCATCAAGGTTGCTGCTGCCCTTGCTCCAAACATCTTCAACCTCTTATTTTATATTCAGAGACAATAAGATCAATTTTAAAACACTAGCTACATTACCTTCTAAGGTTATATATTTTTAATTTCTGTGTTAGATGGCTTAGCACTTAACTTCAAGACCTGTATTTAAAATACCGAATTATCAGAAATTTAATTGGGTGACTGTGGTGTCCCTGACACTTTGCCTGACTGATGCTAGAGATAGAAATGGTGAACCCGATTAACACGGTCTCTGCTCTCAGGAAACTTAAGGGTAGGGGAGGGCAGAGGAATGTAAACAGAGTATTATGACAGAATACAACTGCTGTTATGGTGGGAAACACTGGGCAAAGGGGGAATACATAGGAAGAGAATCCAGCCTTGACTTGGGGGTCCTTATACAGGACATGATTGAAGCTGAATCCTAAAGGGTAGGATTGAATCAAGAAAGAGGCAGGAAGAGTGTTCTGGAATCTCAGTACAAATTCTTGGAGGTGAGAGGCAGCACGGTACATCAAGGAAATAAAGAAGGGGTTTTGCCATATGGAGAATAAGGCACTTAAAGTACTTAGAGTTTTCCAAGTCCTCTTTTTTGATGTTTAGTGTTTCTTAGCATATAAAATACATTGCAGTGGATGTCTTTTTACTCCTGTTTCATTTTTATGTACTTATAAATAATGCATTTGTTATTTCAAAAATTAACTCAGAAATATTTCAAATATATACACAAGTATAGAAAATAATGTAATGAAAGTCTGTGTACATACCATTTAATATACATCAAATCTTAATATTTTGCCATATTTGGGATCAGTTTTCAAACATTTTATTTTGAATAATTTCAAAATTATAAAAAGGTTACAAAAATAGTACAAAGGCATTTCCCTAGACTTCTCATCCATGTTATCCCAAATGGTAACATTTTTATTTCATGCTCTGTGTCTGTCTTTCTCTCTCTCTCAGTCTTTCCGAACTATATTGGAGTATGCTGCAGACTTGATGCTCCTTTACCTCCTCAGTACTTCAGAGCAGTAACATTCCCTCATTACTAAAATATAATAAAAGTCAGTAAATTAGCACTGATGTAGTATTTCATCTACAAATGTTAGTCAAATGTTTCCAGTTGCCACAATAATACCTTTTTATAGCAAAAAAAAAAAAAGTATGGCCTAGGATCTAATCCAGGAGTACCCATTACATTTAATAACTTTTCTTTAGTGCCATTTAATCTGAGACAGTTCACCAGCCTTTTATTTATATTTCATGACTTTACTCTTCAATAGTGGCCAGTTATTTAGTAGAACACTCATTCAGGCCCTGGCTGGTGTAGCTCAATGGATTGAGCATGGGCCTACGAACCAAAGAGTTGCTGGTTCAATTTCCAGTCATGGCGCATGCCTGGGTTGCAGGCCAGGTCCCCAGTAGGAGACACACAAGAGTCAACCACACACTGATGTTTCTCTCCCTCTCTTTCTCCTTCCCTTCCCTTCTCTCTAAAAATAAATGTTAAAATCTTTAAAAAATACCCATTCATTTTTTTCTCCCATGATTAGATTCATATGATGGTGTTTGGGGCAGAAATGCTACAGAAATGATGTTGCAGCCTTCTCTGTGTATCTTATCAAGGGGCACAGGGTACCTTTGATCCATTACTGCTAATGTTAACATTGATCATTTGGTTAAGATGGTGATTTCTAGGCTTTTCTCTTAGTAATATCTCTAGTAAAATCACTGTTCTCCCTCTGTTTTAATTATCATCTTGTAAGGAGATGCTTTAATACTATATACATGTTGTGTTTCTAAATGAACTTTCACCATTGATTACTCTTGCCTGAAAAAATATTACTATGGATGTTGGAGATCAACTTTTTTTAAAAAAATATTTTATTTATTTATCTTTAGAGGGGAAGGGAAGGAGAGAGGGAGAGAAACATCAATGTATGGTTGCCTTTCGTGCGTCCCCTGCTGGGAACTGGCCTGCAGGGAACTGGTTTGCAACCCAGGCATGTGCCCTGACTGGGAATCGAACCGCGATTGTCTGGTTCGCAGGCCTGGGAGATCAACTTTTAAAAAACAAACCCACAGAAAGATTCAAATCCCTTCAGTACCCTGCCTTAAAAACAGTCCTGTTTCTCCTTCCATAAAAGTAATCACCATCCAGAATATAGCAGTTATTATTCCCATGCATGTTTTTTAACTGCATATAAGTGCATCCATAAACATTTTTGCCTACTTCAAATTCATACAAATGGTAATATGCTATGCTTATTCTGCAATGCACTTTCCTCAACATTCCACTTCTGATATTTATGTTGATAATGTTCATTTTAACTATTGTATACTATTGCACTTTATGAAAATGTTAAAACTTATTTTCCTATTATCTGTAGGAGGATATTATGTTATTTTTCCTTATGCTTCCTCTCTTCCTTCTTCTTTTCCCCTTATTCCTCTACTCACCTCCTTCCCTCTCTGTTTTCCTCCCCTTCCTTCTTTACTATCGCAGATAATGAGGAAATGAACCCTACTGGACATATCTCCTCATATACACATCTCTCTAGAACTAGGATATTAACCTGAAAATGGGATTTCTGGGTAAAACTGTGTGCATATCACATCAGTAATCATGGAGCATAACACACCATCCCAAAATCAGTGTCTTAAAATGACATGGTTTCATTTATTCAGTAATTTTCAATCTGAGCCGGGATCATCTATTTCAGTTCTTCTGCTGGTCTTGCTGGTGGTTATCCACACAGCATCACCTGGGAACTGGGCTCAGCCGGTGTGTTGAGACATCTGGGTGACTCTTTACAGGTATTTGTATGGCCTCGCTCTTTCCATATGGCTTTTCCATGTCTGTTTTTTTCCTCATGATCTTTTTTGGAACATATCCTCGAGATTTTATTATCACATAGTAACACAAAATATGAAGCTTAGGACTGGATTGCTTGGCCCTTTCTCTTCTAATATCCTCCCAGTTAAAAATACTTGCATCTCTTAATAGCCAAGCATTCTCTTAGATCTGTAGTTGGGCTCAATTCATTCAAGCCTCAGCACAATCTTCTTTGTAGTTTTAGCCTTTTTGTGGAAAATCAGCCTAGTCTGCCCAACATAGCCATTCGCTTTCCTGTCATAAGGCCACTATCCCTGTGCATACAGAGAACCCTTGCCCTTCTTGTACTGTGTTACTTTGTGGAGTTGATGTTTGCCACACTTCATCCAGAAAGTTCAGCAGGTTTTAGAAACATTCATCATGTTTGTGAGGGGGGCTATTGGCATGGAAAGCTTTCTCATGATCTTAGCAGAGTAACTGGACTTCTTTTTTTTAATTGTGGTAAAATATATATAATATAAAATTGACCATTTTAACCATTTCAAATGAGCAGTTCTGTAGCATTAAGTGTACGCACATTGTTGTGCAACCATCACCACCATTGATCTCCAGAACTTTTTCATCTTCCCCAACTGAAACCTTATCCTCATTGGACATTAACTCCCCATTCCTGATTCCCCTCTTCCCCTGGCAACCACCATTCTCCTTTCTGTCTTTATAAATTCAACTACTCTAAGAACTTCATGATAAAAGGAACCATACAGTATTTATCCTTTTTTGGCTGTCTTGTTTCACTCAGCATAATGTCTTGAAGGTTCATCCATCTTACAGTGTGTGTCAAAGTCTTCTTTTTTTTAAGGCTGAATATATCTATGTAGTCAGAGTTTGTTTATCTATTCATCTGTGAGTGGACTTGGCTTGCTTCTACTTTTTGGCTAGTGTGAATAATGCTTCTATGAATGTGGGTATATGAGTATCTGTCCAAGTACTTACCTGCTTTTGTTTCTTCTGATGTATATCCAGAAGTAGAATTACTAAGTCATATAATTCTGTTAACTTCTTTTGAGGAATCACCATACTATTTCCAAAGCAGTGGCATCATCATTTTATATTCCCACCAGCAGTGCACAAATATTCCAGGACTCCATACCTCACTAACACTTGTTATTTTCTATTTAAAATATTTCTTAAATAATAGCCATCCCTAATGGGTTTGAAGTGGTATCTCATTGTGATTTTGATATGTATTTCCCTAATGTTTAGTGATGTGGAGCATCATTTTATGTGCTTATTGGCAATTTGTGTATCTTATTTGGAGAAATATCCATTTAAGTCCATTGTCTATTTTAAAATCCAGTTGTTTGTTTTTGGTTGCAAGTTATAGGAGACCTTTATATGTTCCAGATGTCAGTCCTTAACAGATATATGACTTGCAAATATTTTCTCCTACTCTGTGAGCTGGCTTTTCACTCTGTAGATATTGTTTTTAATTTTGATAAAGTCCAATTTGTCTATTTTTCTTTTATTACCTGTGTTTTTAGTGTCACATCTAAGAAATTATTGCCAAATCCAATGTCATGAAGATTTGCCACTATGTTTTCTTCTATGAGTTTTATAATTTTAGCTCTTGTGTTTAGGTCTTTGACCCATCTTCAGTAAATTTTTGTATATGGTGTAAGGTAAGGGCTCATTTTTTTTTTATGAAAACTGAAAGTGGACATCCAGTTTTCTCAAAATTATTTGTTGAAAAAATTGTCCTTTCCTTATTGAACAGTTTTGGCACCATTGTTGAAAATCATTTGATCATACATGTAGCAGTTTATTTTTTGTCTATCTATTCTGTTCCACTGGTCTATATGTTTGTCTTTATGCTAGTACCATATTGTTCTGATTATTGTACCTTTGAAGTAAGTTTTGAAATCAGGAAGTGTGAGACTTCCAACTTTGTTCTTCTTTCACAAGATTTATTTGGCTATCTAAGGTCTCTTGATGTTCCATATGAATTTTAAAATGGCTATTTTTATATTTCTGCAAAAAAAGTCATTGGGATTTTGAAAGGGATTGAAGTTAATCTGTAGATTGCTTTGTGCTGTCTATAAGTTTTTAATAGATATTGTTTATCAGGTTAAAATGTTTTCTTTAATTCCTAGTTTACTAAAAGATTTAAATTATGCATTGAATATTCTCAAGATGCATGTTCTATATTCTCATTGAACATTCTCAATATAGGCATATTTCAATGCCTATACTGAAATGATATATGGCTTCATATCTTTAATCTCTTAATATGGAGTTTTACATTATTAGATCAACAAATATTATTGAAATATCCTTGCATCCCTCAAATAAACTATAAGTTATAAGCTATAAATATATTAATAATAAATAGATTTAAATATTATTTAAAATATTTAGCAAATAGTATTTGATAATAATTGAGATTTTTGAGTCAACATTTTTAAGTGAGATTGCCCATTTCTAGTCTCATTTAAGTCTGTTTGCCTTTTGGCTTCTTCCCTGTTGAACTTTCTTCATTTTCACTTTTCCAATCCTCCAAGAACACAGATGAAGTATTTATTAGAAACAATTGATATCAACTCACCACACTTCCTGGTAGAGCCTCTAGTTTGTTTGTAAAAAACCTTTTCATCAACATTGTTTTAATTCTTTAGAGTCTCATTAAATAACTGCTCAATATTCAACAGTGCAATTTTTTA